TAAAAAATACTTGAGTGTGCGCCTTGACGTTTAAATCTTCCACCAACAAAGAGCCTTTGGCAATTGGCACTCGTCCTGTGACGTCGGAGCCAGTGACAAGTAATCGAAAAACACTCCTCATTATTCCCTTCACCCTCAGTGAATTGCATGTGTAATAATAAATAAATAAAATAAATAAACAGTGCAGTTGGAGAAGAGACCAAGTGGAAAAATGGTCCAGCAGTATCAATCACCTGTCAGGGTCTACAAGCACCCCTTCCCCCTGGTCATGCTGGTTTGTTTTGGATTTTATTTATCATCTTGAGTCATTAGATATCATCCATCAGTCATCCTTGTGATTTTTTTCGGGCGGTGAGAGGAAGATTTTACATTTTTACGTAATATTCACCTGTGATATTTGTTTTAGTTTTTCATGCACGTGAAGGCTTGGGGAGAGATATGGATTCACTGACACGTTTAGGGGATTATCGAGTTTGTAGGAATGTCAGGGGTCACTGCTGGATGTTTTTGCTTTCATTAGGACCCATTCCAGGGGTTTTGACAGCGTCAACACTAAACTACCCCAATAATTCACCCCATTCATGAATTACTCCTTAATCACCGATTCATCGAAAACTATCGATTCTACGAAAAATCGTCAAGAGAACTTTTTTGTAGAGATTTTAATCAGCTAGAAAAAACATTCTCAGCGTTTTCACCTCAAATCGATAGTTTCAGAGATAATCCATGACGATGAAATGGAGAATTGAATTTATGACTTCGTAACTGGAATGAATAAATAAATAGATAAAGAGACAATTTCTCTGTTCCCGGAATAAATAATTGTGTAATTTCTGTGTACTTGGTATTCACTGGGTGGAAATCGCGACCAGTCGAAGCCAAAGCCACAAAATCAATTAGAGCTGGAGAAAATAGTCGAGTTAAAAATATCTCAAAGCACTTGCCACTTATTGCCAAGACGATTTCCCTGAAATAATACTTGCCTCTAATTCATCCGATTCCCTGAATCCCTCAAGTACGCGGTGAAGGGTTTTTTTTTAGATTTATTCAAAGCTTTTTTAAAGGTAAATACATCACAGATAGCATCGGCTCACGTGTCACATGTGTCGTATCTAAAATTAATGTTTAAATTGATCGTGACATGTCGGTTTGCTGCACGCAATTCCTCGATGTACAAATTACTGGTGATTACAGAGTCATTAGAATTTTATCAGGGGGAATTAACACCGGAAAATGTTATTTCCTGATAATTCAAGTTTTGGTTCATGAATTCATTAGTCACGGAAGTCTCAATGAATTTTTTATTCAAATAATTATTTTATTTACAATTACTGAAGTAATTATTGAAGCTGTGACAACGATGACGGAGTTTTCGGGGAATATCTCAGGATCGAAGCGACCGAGCGAAATCTTCTAGGGACCTTTTTTTTGGGTTTTAATCTGCTCTAGAAAAAAGGTCTCTACAAAAAATCCGCTATCTGCGCTAGATCAAGAGATATCGGCGTATTTTTTCAGCTGAGATGCGCCAGGTTCCAGTGATTTCTCTGATTGTCGTGAATTTAATCTGAAATTGATAATGGAAGTCCTTGAAAATTTTCTGTACGTCCTCAGGCATACGAGAAGCGCTTTCCAACATGTCCCCAAATCCCGGTGTTCGTCGGTTGCGAGGTGACCCTGGACGAGGAATCGCAGAACGGGGCAATCCGCACAACAGAGCGTCGATGTAAACTCAACGTCGAGGCCCCATACATCCTGAAGAAGATAATCGGTGTTGACTTTATCTACTTCATCCAGAAGAACATCCTAGACCGAAGGAACTCAATCCTAGAGATCGAGGCATGGAACGAGTCATTCGCAGCAAGAGTTGCAGTTGTAGAAAAATGCCGCTACTTCGTCCACCCTGAGAATCCAGAATGGACATGCTTCGAGCAGACAGCAAGCCTCGACATAAAGAATTTTTTTGGCTTCGAGAATGCCATGGAGAAGCTAGCGATGAAGCAGTACGCCCAGAACATCGCCAAGGGTAAAGAGATAATCGAGTACTTCATAAATGAATTGAAAAAAGAGGGTGTAACGTCGGTTGATGCCTGGGTGGAGCCAGAGAAGGCGGTGAAGGGCCCTGAGAAGGGGCCAGACGACGAGGAGATCATCCTCGAGGAGAAAATTGACACCGATGCCAAATTACCAAGCAGTAAAATACAATTGTCATCTGATTACATCGAGAGATACCTCGGAAAATTGGATCTCATGCAGGAGAGTCGACTTGTTCAGCTCAGGAACAGCATTCAGGAGCTCAGAGGTGCATCTGTACCCAGTGATGCAACACTGCTACGTTTTTTGAGGGCCAGAGAATTTATGGTTGATAAATCCAAGGAAATGCTCACCCAGTCACTCCACTGGAGAAAGAAATATCAGATTGATCGACTCCTGGAGGAGTACGAGGCCCCCAAGGTCGTCAAGAATTATTTCCCTGGGGGCTGGCATCACTGCGATAAAGGTAATTACACCAGGGAAAGACCTTTACCATTTAATTAAATTATTAAACGACTCGGTCTCTAATTATCTACCCCCTGAGGACGTGGAAGAGAATCAAAATTATTTTATGGATTCCTTTCACTGAAAAACCTCTGGGAATTATTTATTTCGATGTTTCAATTGGTTCTGAGGATTTCATTGTCACCTAGAGGGGTACACGTGGAAAAATTGATTTTTAAGGGATGAATAATCGATAAATGTTGAAAGAACTCTCTATTTTTCATAATTTTCTTTATAATAAATTTACAGACGGCCGTCCCCTGTATATTCTTCGATTAGGTCAAATGGACGTCAAGGGCTTGCTCAAATCGATTGGAGAGGATGAATTATTATTACTGGTAAGTTATACCCGGCAATAACAAAATAATTCGATAATGGAGTGACTAATTTTGTTTTTTCCTCGAGGCTTTACACATTTGCGAGGAGGGGCTTTCGCTGATGGAGGAAGCTACGACTGTCCTTGGACACCCAGTGTCACAGTGGTGTCTTCTCATCGATCTAGAGGGGCTCAATATGAGGCACTTGTGGAGACCTGGCATCAAGGTACCACCACCACTACCTGAATTCATTTTTATTTATAACAATTTAACTTGCAGGCACTTCTCAGGATTATCGAAATCGTCGAGGCCAATTACCCAGAGACGATGGGTAGAGTTCTGATTATCAGAGCTCCTAGATGTTTTCCCATCCTCTGGACACTCATCAGCACTTTTATACGTGAGATTCTCCATTTTAATGCGCGTTGAAGTGCGAATTCCGGTGAATTTATCGATATTTTTGTCTTTCAGATGAAAATACGAGGAATAAATTTATTTTTTACTGTGGAACGGATTATCAGGAGCAGAACGACGGGGGCCTGACTGATTACATCGATCCAGAGTATATCCCTGACTTCCTGGGGGGTCCATCAGAGGTAATTAATCCTAGGAAATAATTACTCTCATTGCAGAATTAATTGGTGAAATAGATTAATGAATTTGCCATTCTGTTTTTTTTTCTCTCTCTCTTGCGAATTTATTATTTCGATTGATTGAATTGGAATCAGGAGAGTATTTCTGTTGAACAACTGACAGTACCACCGAGATATTACATTTACGAGTCACCATGCAGCAGTGTAAGATTATATCGAAAAAATAGAGCAATTTCTCGACATCAAAATGTGGATATCACGTTGTCTGGTTTACTGTCATCATCACCGTCAAGTATTTCAACCCAGAAAAATGATTAATCAATTAAAAAAAAACGAGAATAAATCATTCAATCATTCAATCATTCAATCAATCAATTAGATAATTTATTAAAATTTTTTTTGATGATAAATATAACATGAAATGGAGTAAACGATTGATTTTTCTGGGTGAATGAGTTGAATCAGCACCTGACGACCACCGAATCATGAATATCAGTTGAGCAGATATTCAGAGGTCTCCACTGAATGTCCACGAATCACCTGAGTGTCTTTCTGATCCTGAGACTGTATTAATCCACAAAATGATTCGTTATTTTCAGACATACGTCAACGAGGGAGGTGTTGTGCCAAAGAATCTTTACCGTCTTGAGCTGGAGCCATCGAATGAGCATGAGCACAGCCTCTATCACTCGATAAGTCTATCCCACGGACAAGTCCACCATGTAGCAATCAATACCAATGATCCAGGAGCTGTTCTCACCTGGGATTTCGATGTGATGCGTCACAACGTCATCTTCACGGTTCTCCATGAGAAACCGGAGGCTGATATGTCACCTGGGGCTGCATCTGGTGAACAAAACGATCAGATCGATGGAAATTTTATGAAGGAGTGGCGGGAGGGAGTTGATTGCATCAAGGTGGAGTCCAGTGTTGTCTGTCATGATGGGGAGAGCATCCAGGGTACTCACATCATTCAGGAACCCGGGACGTACATACTCCAGTGGAAGAATCCTGATGAAGGGGAATTTTTACCCTCCATCAGTGCCCATAAGGCACAGCTCATGTATTTTTATGAGGTACTTCCCTCCGCTCATTATCGAGGATCTATGATGAGTTTGCAGTCAGCTGTCAGTGGAAGATCTGTTGCCAGCTCATCCCTGTCCAGATGAGAGGGAGGAATTCACGAGGAGGTGGAGGACGCCGGCATATCCTCGGGGAATTAAATTTTTCCACCAGTTATTTTCATTCTTTCGGTTTATTTTCGGTTTTTTTTTATTATTTGGAATCACCAATTATCGGAATTTAGAGATGAAAATTCGGGGACGTCCTCGCGAATCGATACGTATCGCTGATATCATGCAGGAAATATTCACGAGGCTATTTGGACTCTATATCATGGAGGAGAGACTATTTTCGTACAACCGTTGGGCGAGGCGTGAATATTTGAGAGTGATAATGCTCCATAATTAATGAATAATGTACAGGATATATTTTGTGATTGAGATTAATATACGCGACTCTTCCAATTGTGGGAAATTGTATATAGGGGGTGGGGGGCGTTGATTATAGGTGATAATGATTAGGTGGAGACAACGGAAACCTGACAACTTAGGCAACGACAATATTACATTCGAAATTAGGTCGTAATTTTTCAAGGATTATTTTTACTGTTCGTTAATGCATTGAAACTCGATCAATTAATTGTCAAATTCGAAAATATTTAACTGTTTGTCATTAGTCAATACTAGAATAACCAAATGCGAGGATATTTTTGAAAATAATTAAATCAGCGTAGGAATTTATCGTATAGCGATGTTTTTAGGGTACTGAGGGGTTTGAGAGTAGAAATTTTCGTGATTAAATTGTAGATCCAGGAGCGAATTCGTAAGGTATTGTCCATGGTAATTCGATTAGGAATTTTATCCACTCGTTACTGTATCTTGATAGATTACAAAATTAGGGGATTTTTAATGTTTATTCGAATGTTTTTGTCGATTTTAGTTTGTGACCCAGTGAAAATTATCTCGACGCATTTTCTTTTTTATTTGAAAATTTTAACTGATATTTTCACTTCGGAGAAATTTCATTGCTGTAATGACGATATTTTTTAGAGACTTCTATATTACATGTTAAATGATTAAAGAGAATTCTAATGAACACATGTGCTAACTCCATTCAGACGTCAGGACATTCCAATTAATTGTTTTGTCTGAAGAATTTTAATCATGAAATTAGAGATAATAAAATATAGATGATGTTGAAAAATTTGGCGTTTTTATTTTTCATTGTTTAATTGTTTATCTTCTCTTGAAGCCGTATTTTTTCCTCTCGTAGAATAGATCTGTCTTGGAGCTGCCGAGGTTGACGATCTTGGGGCATCCGTCCCTCTGAGGAGATTAAATCCATGTATTAATTAATTAAAAAATAATCCGAGTGGTATTTTCAGAAGGAAAAATGGTGAACTCACGTCTTTCTCCTGGATTGTACATTCCTTGCAATAATATGCGTCAGAAACACCTGGACCTCCACATATTACACATCGACCTTGGTATGACCCATAATTACACTCATCACAAATCCTCACGAGAGTGCAAGGACGAACGTACGAGTCGCAGATTACGCATTTCCCATCGCATTTTTCGCATAATCTCCCAATAGCTGAAATAATTACAACAATTAATTAATAAAATAATAAATCAAATGAATTATCGACCCAAATAAATCCCGCAGATTCCAATTCGATGGAGAATTTATTTGTTGACGCAGAAATCTCGGATTCTTTGAGCAATTGTTAATTAATTATTTATTATTAATGTTTATTATAGAATAATGGAGGTTATGAGGTTATGAGGAACTACTTGCCTACTCCAGGCTGTTTTCTGCAGAAAATTAAATCAGGATGATGTTTTGCCATGATATATTTGAATTCTAGGCCCCAAAATTCGAAATTCAGACCCCAAACACTCGGGTTTTTTGTCAGAATAATTTGTTGACTCCAAAACGCTTTCCCCTAATCCACAATAATAATTGTTTATACAAACAAGACTCTTTACTCCATATATCCAATTTGTTTATTGTAAAAACACATTCAGAGATGGAATCCCCTAGGCGGGATATTTGAATTATTTAAAAAACGGTTTATCACAATTTTTTTTTCATTTAAAGAATGTTTATGTTTTTTTTTTGGTTGCGGGAACTATCGACAATCGATTAATCGCCACGAGTGGAATCGATATGTTCGACTAGTCGATGATAATCGAGTGGCCTTTCAAAGATGGCCGCCACCAATGTGACGAGCTGATGATTCTTCTGTCAAAAACCCAATAAATAATAATTGTGCAAATGTTTGGATTGTATTTATTGTTAAATCATCGTGTGGATAATCGACTGAAAATTGTTTTCAATGATTTATCGATTGGAATGACTATCATCTGATCTCCAAACGAATCGAGTGAGTCAGCTGATGACAGGAAAACTCAATCATCACTAATCAATTAATAATCATCAATAATTAATACTCTCTACATTTTAAATTCAATTAAAATATTTATTCATTAATTAAAAACTTCAAAAAAAATTTTAAATCGATTATTTCTCATTTTTTCGTGAGTATCGAAATTTTTTGAGGTTAAGCGAAATAATCCCTTCAATTTTTCTCTGAATTTTATTTATCAACTAAATGTTTATAAATAAATAAATCATAACAATGATTGTAATTTTTTATTTTGTAATATTTAATTTCCATAATTTTTCTGTGACTAATATTTTTTTTTGTTTTTAGAAATAACCACTGATTTATTCGTGAATAAAATGAATTTGTCAGGTTGAATGGGCTTGGAGGAACCTGAAGACGAGTACAATGTCGCGATCGTCAGGCCAGTGCGATCAGGCGGCATCTTACATGGATGGTGTCCAGGTGAAGATAGCAGAGGCCTACAAGCCCCCGAGAAAATTCGGATTGCCTGCGGCATACAACAATAAATTCCCGGATGTCTCCAAATACGATTACGACTTCAGTCTAGAGAGATCGGTCCTGGAGAAGGTAAGACTGTCCTCCATTCCAATGACCAGGTGGAAAATTCCAGGAGAGGCCGACCCAATCCAATTAAATTCATCCGTCTGTCCTCCAGGTCACAGAATTGCGTAAAGCCAGACAGGCAAATGCCGAGGCGCGAAGGTCACGCCTGGAGAGGAGGAGAAAACGAGAGCTAGAGTCGACAACCCCATCGCCACCATCTCCAGACGATGCGATGATTCCACTGCCAATTAAAGTGGCACCAGCACCAGAGACAACTATTCTCACGCCTCAGCCTTTGTCACCGCCTCATAGTGATCTCCATAATATTGATATTCACGTTAAATACAATAGACTTAATTACGAGGACTTTTATAATGATACGAGCAGTCCCTTTGATAACGTCGAGCTGAAGACGATCAACGATATGGAGGAGCTTGCCCAGGTGTTGCAGTCCAATTCCCAGTGGACACCTGCGCCAAAAATAGAGAGCATCCTCAAGGAATTGAGCATCGAGGAGAGCCCAGAGGAGAAGAAGGACGAGATCGAGAATAAGGCTGATGATAATTACGATAAACCACAGGGGAGTGAGTGCAGAAATATTTCCATTATTGTTGAGGAGCTGCAGAGGACTCTTCAGGATAGACCCTGCATGGATAACTGGAAGCCATGGCCAGATCTGGAGAGTCCAGACCCAGAGACAACTCCGGAGTTGAAAAAATCACCACCTACTGCCCAGAGTCCCTCGACTCTACCAAATCCCCTCGCTGAATTATCAGAATCCGATCAAAAACTTGCGAAACACCTCAAGGATATGGGATTTCCACTCTCAAGGTCAGCCAGGGCAATAAAAAATCTAGGAAGCGCGGACAACAAAAAAGTCGTTGAGTATCTTCTGGCTATTCAGTCCCTGGAGGAGTCTGGAATATCTGGAGATGATGCTGAAAAGGCTATGGATGTAGCTCAACACGATCTGGAGATGGCGAAAAAATATTACGAGGACTTGTCAACACTCAAGGACTTGGGATTCCCTGAGGATGAGGCATCCAAGGCTCTAGTCAAGTGTCACATCGACAGGGACAAAGCTCTCGATTTTCTCTGTGCGTAACGAATTTTTATATATATTAATAAATTATAGAGGACGGTCTAATGTTTCAGTCGATCGATCGAAATTTATCTGTGAAGATGATTAAAATTCATAATTATTTTTTACTATTCCACGCACGTGAAAATTTAATAGAAAAATTGAGATAATTTTTATATTAAAATTTTTCACACGCGTCTTCCTGCGAAAATCGATTCGAATAATTAGGAAAATTCATTTTTTAATGTTTCATTGATATTGTTGGATTGAATTATAACTGTTGTAATTATATTCAAAAGATATTTTGCCAGAGGTATCATTGAACAATAATATTAATAAAAAATCTATTCGGTTATTCCATTTCGTTATAATTTATTGATTCAACGTGGAAGGGCAATGATTTCCTCAACAATTTCAATAAAATACATAAGTTCATTAGTCTCTAAGGCTGAATCGATAATATCGCTTTGCATTTGTACATTTTGGTGACAATCTTGTATATAAATAAATTCCTAAACATCAAAAAATCAACAATCTATGCATTTAAAACTAGTTTTATAATTCTTCATTGAAAATAGTAACTAGGAAAATATGTCTCTGAGCTCTGGAATAATTACAATATTTCTTCTCTCACTCTGGCTTTGATAAATAAATATTAGCGCCAGGGAAGGACTTTGATCCCATGGGATAGGAAGTCGAATGTCTGGCTGCATCTCTGGGAGCAGAAGAGGAGAACAATCAGGAGGGAAATCTCTTCGCTGGTGCCAACAGCTGCCCATGCCTCTGTAAACATTGGCTGGTGGCACTGATTGTTTAAACAAATGCATAATGGACCGTTGAACAATAGACTGTGGAACATGTCTGGCTTGGGGCAGATGGAGATGTTGAGATAATTTTCGTAGCTTTAGGAAAATTAGAAAAATTATTAATCTGATGTGGAGAATTGTTAATTGAATTATTTTTATTTATTTACTCACTTGTTTGAGAATAAACATCTCAAGGACAGCTCCCACAGGGACGGCGGCTCTCTGTTCTCCATCCTGAAGACTCTGATCAATTGTCTGGGTAATCTAACAACTGCTGTTCCATTGAAATTCTCTTTTTCCATCGACAAATCAACGCTGAGTTGAAGGACACGATTGGACATCATCTCCGAGATGTTCCTGGTGGAGTAAATTCAACAGAAAAATATTTTTCTCTTTATAATTACCGCAGGAAAATATTTCCTGATAAATTCACGATAGAAATTCTTCTTTTACATAAAAATTTTCGATAAATAAAATGAATAAAGCGAAACGAATGACTCGTACTAACAAATTCCTGGGAAAAAAACTCTTCCCATCGTTCCACCCCAGCTCGAGGAATTGAGAGAGCAAGGAGTAGCTGATGTAATTGAGATTTGAATTGCAGCTGAAGTAGATCATCGTCGGGGAGACGAAGGAGTTGAGGGGTAAATGTTTCAACCTGAAATCCCAAAAAGATAAAATATCAACTTATCAAAGGAGAAAATCCATAAATATTGTACCTGTTGGAGCAAACAGAAACGATCTCGAGTGATTGAGCTAGTGTCAACCGATTGGGCAGCTCCTCCAAGAAATTATTATCCACCAGGAGTCTCTGCAATTTATTCAACGACCCCAGCCACTCTGGGAGGCTGACAAAATTATTTCCACATAACGATAGCTTCTCCAGCTCCTCAAAATCCGCGATATCTAGAAAAAACGATTAATTATCTTGATCCACCACTTGTGTCACAAAAATCGAAGGAAAAATCGTGGGTACGAGTAGTAAATGGTATGAAAGAATAAAAAAAATACAATCTCTTCACCTAATGGCAGTTGACACAACGAATTATCATCGAGAATCAATTCCCTGAGTGTTTTGAGTCTCTTCAACCCCTCGGGTACGACCTTGAGGTCGTTGTCACTCAAGTCCAGGACTTTTAGCCTCTCCATCACACTGAACTCCTCGGGGAGATTTTTTAATTTATTTCCGGCCAAGTACAGGTTTGTTAGGTTTGTCAGTTGATAAATCCATGGAGGTATCACAGTTATTTTATTCTCCTTCAGGTATAACTCCTCAATTGCAGTACCTTTGTCTCTCAGGGATATCGGGAGCTCCGTTATTCCTCGGTAATTCCAGTGGAGAATCTTTTTCTCCATCATCTCCTTGGTGTAATCCATCAAGTCTCTCTCATGACGATCCATTTCTCATCATCGCTACACGACCACTGGCTCGAGCTTTCCTAGGTTGACACAGAAAATCTATTACTGCATCGTAGGGTAGAATAAACTGGGTCAATGCCACGGTAATTCTACTCGATACCTGTGTTCAAGGGAAGTATTATTTTTCTGACGCTTCAATTATTTTTCCTTATTTTTGTTGGTTTAATTGGGGATAGGTTACATTTGTTTCCACGCATGATTCAACTTTTTTTGTTATGAATATTGATTTTGTAAGGGAGGGAAACAATAAAGGTGGAGAGAATTTCAATTGACATTTGGGATGGAAAAATCGAATTTGAAATGAGCGCGTTGGGGTGCGCGTGCGCGGGGTTGGGCGGTGTGAAGTTGGCGGGGTAAACGAAAAAATGGTTTTTAGGACGGAGGCGGGAAAACTCAAATTTACGGACGCAAATCAAATTGTGATTGAAAATCAATGAAAAATCATTTCTTTTGATTCTTATAAATTTTTTTTTGTTATTAAAATTATCGAAAATAGCATAAAACAATTAAATTAAAAGTTTAAAAATCGAAGAACTATTCTATTTATTTATGTTATTTAAAAATAAATTGACAAAAAACAATGACAGAAATATTTTCAAATAGGATAATCAAAATAATGATAATTAAACTAATAAAATGGAGAATTAAATTCCATTTGCAATTCGAATGAATCGTATTTATTATTATGATTGTTATTATTATTATTGTTATTTTTATTGTTAAATTGAAGAGGGGAATATTTTCAGAAGTGAACAAGTGAAAAAAATGAAAAAATTGAAATTTTCCCGCGCAACCCATGCGCATCCGCCTTGAGTGAGCAGTAAAGATGGCGTTGCAATGTCGGAATTACGTCACATCGGCAATTTCATCTGGTATTATAGTGGGAAAAAAGGGTCTAGTTCCCTTGCACAAACGCCTATCCACCAAATGGAAATGGAGTCGAGTCACGACAACTCAACTTTATCATTTCTAATCCACTAAAAATAAATGCTGAATGATGCGATCGATTATTCTCACAATGTTAATATGAAAGATCAATTATCAAATTATTGATAAAAATGAAAATTTATCATTAAAATAACGACAGATAAACGGGATAAATACGGAATTTAAAAGAGAGAATATCTGCGTGGATAATTTAATTCGAATACAAGGACCAAGAGGCCAGCGATATATTTGCGGAATTTGTTTCTCAAAAATTTTTTTCCTCTTTCACCAATAACTCAACAATAAGACAGTCCAAATTATCATTTGGCTGGACAACGAGTCAGATGCGAGTTATCATCACGTGCATCGTGAGATCATTCGACTGTTCCACGTAAGTAGAAATTTATGTACATTTATTTGATTTTTTTTGGTAATAATTTAAGTATTTACTGGCATTTTATAATCCATCGGTGGAGGCCGACACCCTTTTACACTCGTGTATACGTGACACAGCAATGGCGGCAGGAGAGACTGAAACGTTTGGAATAAGCAGTGGCCAATGGCAGCTAGAGATTAACTAAATCATCACCACAAAAATCACCATTTCCACGGTTTTTCAGCGTCCGATAATCCACCACCACCCCATTATCCACCCCTTTTTCATCATTTATTTTTTTTGTTGTTATGTACACGGGTATATATGTATATGCCGTTTTTATGTGGTGATGTATGTGGTGTAGTGAGTTTTTCAACATTTTTTATAACGTGCAGTGCTACTCGGATTGTTTGAGGGATTTTTTTTTGCTTTATTTATTGGGGGAGTTATCGTATCACTCGGTATCTGTTACTGTGCTACATGAGGACGAAACCAGAACTTCGCATTGTTGTGCGGATTGAGGGGTAATTTTTTTTTTGGAAATGTTTTTTTGAGTTTCTGGGAGGGGAGGGTTTTTATGAATTTTCGTGGGGACGACATGTGTGGAAAATGGAAAATTTTGTTGGGGATTTTGAGGGATATCTCGGGATCCTGGGGAGATGGGGAATTTTTGAGAGGACCTTTTTTGGAGAGGGGAATCAGGGGGACGTAAAAGGTCTCTCTGGAAATTTCGGTAGCTCTCTTCGGTTAGGAGATATTCCTGGAAAACTCAAGTGTCGAAATGGAATTTTCAGTCTACCCTGTTCTGTGAAAATTTCCCTGTGATAACGAGGAAAACACGAGTCATTTACTAATTTCCAGTAAAACCCCCATTTTCAATCCAAAAAACGACGGGAATGATTCTCCATAAATTATCTAGTGAATTCTGATTTTTAAATGAATTTTCCAGCAACAATTGACTAAACAATTGTTCAAAAAAGACTTCCCCTTTCATTCACCGCTCATTTCCCAGGAAATAATTAGATTTACGAGAAAACCCTTAGAGACCTTTTTTCCAGAGAATTAAATTTCCCAGAAAACAAGTCCTCTGGTATTTACCCCTAAACCAAGAAACACTGGAGATAAATGGCGATTTAACCCGACAAAGCGATAACCAGAGCTGTTCTCCTCCAGCAGGTGACATGCCTAGCAGTCGCGACCTGGACCGTGTGGATCGTAATGGCCGTTACAAATCCCGTCGTCGTGAAAGCGGGACAGGTGATATATTGAATCGTCTATCTCAACCCGACAAGAAGCACCGTAAGCATGGTAAATCAAAAAATTCAAAGAAAAAGAAAAAGCGAAGTCGCGATCGCCTGGACTCAATACCATCAGTAGCATCATCAGTGGTAAAACCCCTCGTCGAGTACTCAGACGTATCCAGCGAGGACTTATCAGGCCCCGAAGCCGGTGAGATACAATCAGAAGAGTCACGTGGTGCTAGTTACACCGAGGGTGACCAACTGGAGTCCCTCCTCCAGCCAAAATACTATGCATCACCACCTCGTCCACTGGGAGCATCACCAATCAGTCTGTCGCCATCACCACCTATGCATCGACACACGAGTCATTACTCCCCCCAGGAGTCAGCCCAACAGCCGAGTCCGGAGTACGAGGAGGACAATCGTCGTTATGTCAGGAGAAAAGAGAAGAAGCACAAGCGAGAGAAGAAGAAGAAGAGATCATTGAGCCCATCATCGAGTTCATCGAAGAAGAAGAAACGTAAGACTAAGAGAGCATCTAGATCACCACCGATTATTCTCCAGGATGGGCCATCACCAGAGCCACCAAAACCTATTGACACTTGGTCTGAGTCACCACCACTTCCCCTCAAGGACTCGACATCACCTATATCGCCAGCAACACCACGTGATAATCGGTCACCGAGTGATATGGACCTGGAGTCACCACCACGTGAGGAGAGAAATATGACACCTCCAGGTTCGATAATCACGCGTAGAACGGAATCACCGCATACACCACTCTTGCCACCGAGAAAAATGACACCAGATATGCCAAAATCACCGGAGTTACTGAAATCACCATCACCCCAGGAGAGAAGGAGTTTAAGTCCCATGGAGGTCTCCAGGAGGCGACCGCATTCACCGAGTCCTCGTCGACGAGAGCCATCGCCATCTCCGAGGAGAAGGGATTATTCACCGATGGGAATGCTGAGGATGAGGCACACACCGAGTCCAAGACGAAGGGATTATTCACCCTCGATGCACAGACGACGTGATCCTGGATCGTCGGGATCACCTACGAGCAAGAGGAGACGGAGGGACGACTCTGAGAGACGTCACAGACATCACGAGAAAGAGCGTAGGGATAGTAAGAGGAAATCTAGGTCGACGAGGAGTCCCCCAGGGCGGGGACTGCCGATGGCCCTGTCGAGATCGAGATCGAGAAGCCCGAGGAGCTGGAGGCGACCCACTAGGTCGAGATCGAGATCGAGGAGGAGGAGTAGATCACCGAGAAAATCGAGATCACCGAAAATTCATAAACCCATCAGGAAGCACAGATCGAAGAGCCCCAGGTCGTCGAGATCGTCGATACCATCACCAGGTCCTCACAGATCACGGGCCAGAAGTCCGACGAGTATCAAGGCCATCAATCTGAGGGGACAAGCGAAGATTAATGAGACGAGTCTCTTCGCTGAACTAGTCAAGGACCGAAATATGAGGGAATTGGCGTATAAAAAGCTCCAGGAGGCGAAGGAGAAGGCAGGTAATCAGGACGAGGTGCAGATAATCGAGGGTAATGAGGAGAGGGACTCGAATTCATCGGATATTAAAATAAATCTCGATAAATCGGCCAATGGAAAGCTCGAGGGAAAGCCCGAGGTGATGGTATCTTCAGTTTCATCAACCTCTTCGTCTGCTGGTATTCCCCCAGCTTCGGGAATTCCATTTGGGCCATCAGCGTCGGCTCCATCAGTACCACCAGCACCTCCGGTACCTCCACCACCAGTACCACCAGCACCACCTGGTGCCAGAGCCATTGAAGAGGCTGGACTCACACCACCTCTACCCCAGAGCCATCAAACACCACCAGTACCAGTTAATAATTCACTCCTGGAGCCAACACCACCACCACTACCTCCAGCACCACCTCTACCACCGAATAATGGTGCAAGGGGTTATCCTGCGAGAACACCACCACCAGAGCCATCACCAATACCAACAGTACCAACAGCTCAATCAATTCATCAGTCACAGCCCCTCATCAATGCAATCTCCAAGTTCAATACACCGAATAATCTGGTGCCACTGAAATCAGTGGATCCACCCAAGACTCCAATAATAAAATTCAAGACTAAGAGCCTCTCAAAGCTACCACTACCACCAGGTATCAATCAGAATGACCTGGAGAGCATCGACTCACCACCTAGCAGATCTCCAAGTCCTCCAAAAGCTAAGATCGGTGCTGCGATTACACCTGGGAGTAAATTAGGAGTTAAGAGGGGTATCAAGGATCTGCCGATGCCTCCGGGGATGATCCCCGGGTCTGATGAGTTCTCTGGAGAAGAGGACACCAATGCCACTCCACCCAGGGGCAAACTAGACAGAATTACACCAAAACCAAAGCTCAAGAGACCCAAAATCCTGAAGAGGAGGAGCTCTAGAAATTGCCACATGCCAATGTCTGCCAGTGGTGGCAAGGATTGGGGCGAGAGGTGTGTCGATGTTTTTGAAGTTATTGCACAGATTGGTGAGGGCACTTATGGACAGGTGTACAAGGCCCAGGATAAACGAGCCGCTGTTCTCGTTGCTCTCAAGAAAGTCAGACTTGAGAATGAGAAAGAGGGATTTCCCATCACAGCTGTTCGGGAGATCAAGATCCTCAGGCAGCTCAATCACAAGAATATTGTCAATCTCAGGGAAATTGTTACTGATAAACAGGATGCCAAGGACTTCAGGAAGGACAAGGGGAGCTTTTATCTTGTATTTGAGTACATGGATCATGATCTCATGGGCTTACTAGAGTCGGGAATGGTCGACTTCAATGAGATGAATAATGCTAGTATCATGAAGCAGCTGTTGGATGGTCTCAATTATTGTCATGGCAAGAATTTTCTTCATAGAGACATCAAGTGCTCCAATATTCTTATGAATAACAGGTGAATTTTCAGTTATCTTTTGATTTATTTTGGTTGATTTTAGTCTGATTGGAACTGATAATGTTGGATTGATATTCTAGGGGAGAGGTGAAACTCGCGGATTTTGGATTGGCCAGGTTGTACAATGCTGAGGACAGACAGAGGCCGTATACCAATAAAGTTATAACCCTGTGGTATCGTCCACCAGAGTTGTTGCTCGGGGAGGAGAGGTATGGCCCAGCAATTGATGTCTGGAGTTGTGGATGCATCCTGGGAGAATTATTCTGGAAGAAACCCCTGTTTCCGGTAAATAAAATTGATCTCTCGGTGAAATAAAATACCAGAGATAATACCAATCAATTGTTATTGTTATTATTCAGGGTAATGCAGAGATGCAGCAACTGGAGATGATCTCTCGTGTTTGTGGCACCCCGACACCAGCAGTCTGGCCATCTGTGATAAAACTCCCCCTTTTCCACCTGCTGAAAGCCAAGAAAACCCACAGACGGAGATTACGCGAGGATTTCTCATTCATGCCAGCACTAGCTCTAGATCTCCTTGATAAAATGCTGGAGCTTGATCCTGATAAGAGAATAACAGCTTCTGAGGCCCTGAAGAGTGCGTGGCTGAGGAACGTTCAGCCAGAGTTGTATGTCGTATTTGTAAAAAATAATGTACGGGCTATTGATATTGATTTTTTTATTGTTATCTCGTGATTTTCAGGATGCCAGCGCCTGAATTACCCACGTGGCAAGACTGTCACGAGCTGTGGAGTAAAAAACGACGAAAACAGATGAGAGAACAGGCGGAGACAGCGGCCACTGGGAGAGACGTTGGAGGGTGAGTAGCTGACTGTTGAAGCACAAATATTTAAACAAATGGCAGATATATCTTTGAAAGAAATATATATTGACTTTTTTTTTTAATGTATATAAACCGAGAATTTAGTCGATAAGGTATTTAGGTGGAAATTATATCGTCAGCATTTATCTACTTAAAACAAATCAAAAATGCAGACACAATACATTTGTTATCATTATTCAGTAATTGTTCGTCCCCTGCACGGTATTATTGATGTTTTTATTTACGATGCAGGGGATTGAGACGATGATAAACAATTTTTTGATTTATTATGTAGGATAGGTTATTTAATTAGTAATTAATGGTCATTAATCGACGTCTTCAGAGGCATCAATGAGCAATTTTTTCACAGAATTATTTTCTTTTGGTTTTGGAAATTTTTTTCCGTTTTTTTTCCCCCGTTTTTTCATTATCTTTTTTTTTCTTTTAGAGATTGAAAAAATTGTGTAAATGTTTAGAGGATAATGCTTCGATCGAATGTAAATAAATATATTTGTTGGTTTTTATATGAACAAAGAGGGATCGCCCAGAGGGACAACGATGTAACCGTGCGGTTTATTAGTATTTAAGTAATATTATTATTACTGGTATTGTAAATAAATGAATAAAACAGATTTTCCCCCCTTTTACTTTATTTCAGATATTTTTTAAGATGAAATTTTTGCGATTTCATGTTTTGAGGAATTTTTCTGGGTTTGGGGGATGTTTTTTGTTAATTGTTAATTAAAGAATTTTTTATTGAGGCTTTGGAAAAATTGGGGCTCGAGGGGGAGAGAACATTCAGGGGATGAGGGGTAGAGGAAGAAATTTGGATTAATTGTTTTTGTTAATTAACAATTGGAATTATTATGGAGGAGATTAATGGATTTTTTTTCGGGATTAATTTGTGGTTCTGGAAATTCATGGAAAAATGGAAAAATCAGGGAGTAGAAGTGGAGAATCATGGAGATAATGATTTCGGAATCTGGAATTCTGATGAGAACATGAAAATTTATAATAAATAAATGGAATTAATGGAAAATCTAGAGAAAGTGATGAAAGAAAAATCGTATCACCATTTCCTCCAGAAATTTCTCCTGATAATTCCGGGAATTCTCCCAAGGGTTCCAAAATATTCATGAAAGAACCTCAAGTCTCAATTTGTTAACAATAAAATCATTTTTTAATTGAAAATCAATTCGAAATGCAATTCTAGGGGATAACTATTACTATCCCATCAAAAAATCGATGACTTGTCCTCAATACCCGATTTTTCTCGAAAACTATGGATTTCCGGTGAAAACCCTAGAGGACATTTTTCTAGATCCTAAAACGATCTCCAAAAAAGTTCTTCTGACATTTTCCTCTAAAGCCAATAATCTCCGAGATAAATCGATAAACAGGGGGACTCAAAAAATGGATTAATCACTGAGTCACAGAATAAATAGAAAAACCGAAAAAATTCTTTCAATTACAAAACAATTCCACGAATGAATTTCCAAAAATTTGTAAAATGTATTAACAATATAAAACACTGTATTTATGTTACACCAAGAAATCTGTGAAAAAAGGTGGAAATAACAATTGAAAAAACTGAAAAATGTGTTGCAGGAAATAATTGAGTTAGATTGTGGCCAAATGATTGAGGGAGAAAATAAATATCACTTAAACAGGGTGTTTACCATAGGTAACTGTTTTATTTCGATTTTTTTTTCTCATTTATCCACCTCATCTTAATCTCATGGTCATCAGTGGGTGAACCCCTCCATAATTAACAAAAAATCTCCACCTAATAATAAATAAACAAAACCTGTCACTCCCCTCCACTGCAATATCCATAAATCAACGAATAATCATACTGTCGATAAATTAATTAAGAGTAATCGTAATCGTCGCATGAATGGATAATTAATTATTGAGATTAATAATTGGTGATTAATAGTATCAATTATTTTTGACTTCAGATCATCGAAGAGATTGAAAATGGAGGCGGGGTACAGCTCTCATGCCAATTTTGGGAGCAATGATGGAATCCTCGAGGGGAATACCTACAGTGTGTCACCAGGTGGTTATTACTACAGTCCTATTAAATCGAGGATTAATCAGAGGGGCGAGGGTGATGTCCAGGGGATGGACGTTAATACTGAGGATAGCCTCGCCAGGAAATTGAGTCATCTCACTGGTGCACTCAGTCAAGGAAAACCCATCCGAGTGGACGATCTCATGTCCCTTCGGTTGGATAATGAGGTAATCCCCATTTTAACAATTAAAATCTAACAATTAAAAAATTTTTAAATGTTCAGTTTGTGTTTATGTTTGTTTAGGAGACAATAAAACTAAATAGCATTTTTCTATTATTTTTATGGATTAATTATTGTTGGTAATGAATCATTGGATTTTTGTTACAGAGTGATCCGAAAGCTGTACAACTCCTAGAGGAGCTGCACACCGAATTACGATTGGCAGCGAATTCAAGGGCAACTGGACAACTTGAGGCTCATTTGCCAGTACTCAATCCTCCCCCACCTGGTAATTAGGCTAATTAAAAAATCCCTCAATCCTCAATTTCCAAATCATCATAAATAAACATTGAGTAATCAATTAAATTCAGACTAAATAAAATGGAAAAATTAATTCAATAATTAAATTAATTATTCACTGATTGATTTAATTTGTTTAATTCATTCAATTTATTTAATTGATTTAATTCATTTAATTGATTTATCATTCAAATTTAAATGTGAATGAATTTTTTTTTGATTAATTTTAGATGCATCCAGTGTAAAAACAATTTTTGACGCCCACGCGGTGTACGCTGGAGATGATGCTGTTAGCTGCGGTGGAAGATGGTCTCAATTGGCAACAGCTGGTGTAAAAACTGCGCTGTCTGCTTTAATGTCAAGATATGGATTGGAAACTTACGGTACACCGATAACGAATCCGTCAGGTAAATCATTCGCTGGAACATCACAGGCCATCTTTCCAGCGCCCTCGTCATCCACACAGTCTGCGTTTGGCTCGTAGTCCAGTGTCATCCCCTGTCACCCTCATTACCGTGTAATTTATTGTAACAATCAAAAATTAACAAATGAGTCATTAAGAAAAGGGGAGACACGAGTTTTAAATTCTCTGGTTCATTGAGGATTTATCTTCCCCTCCATTCCACAGGCCCAAAATATAATAATCAGCAATAAAAACCGATAATCATTAACGATTTAATTAATTAATAACGTAATGAGGTGAGATAAGAGATGAGTCGATTTTACTTGATTATTTATTCGGTATTTATCTCGAAAAGTATCGCTCTGGGAGAGAAATGGTAGAGGACTTTTTTATGGATAAATTAATCAGCTTGAAAAAAGTCCTCTAGTGTTTTTTCGTGATGTCAACAGTTTTCGGGTTAATCGATGAATAAGGAAGATTTCAATCTCGAGTTTTGACATTTTAATTAGTAATTGAAGATTAAATCAGTTTTTTGAGCTAATTATTTATTTTTTGCGTCCCTGGAATACAACATAATCCTGCAGCTCATCAATTAATGACCCGTGATATTTAAAAATAATTTTCTCCCCGTAATCAATTAACATGAACAAAGAATAACTGTTTGTATATTAAATTCAATATTTTCATCGTAAATCTAGGATTCGGATTTATTCCCAATAAATCCACGAGGCAATAAATTATTACCAGTCATCTTCGTTGAACAATTGGTTCAACATTCTCACAAGGTTCTTCGGTTTTCTTAATTTATTTATTTGTTGGGGCTATCGGGGACTGAATAATTACAAGTCAGTGACTAAAAGCGAAAGAGTTCAGATCAACGCCCCGTTATCAGTGAATATCTCGGAATCAGTGAGAGATATCGAATTTTCCTAGAAGAAAATTTTGTAGAGGACAACGAGATCTACAAAAAATGTCTCTGCATAATTCCCCGATTTTTCGTAGATCTCGAGATATTCAACAGGGAATTGACGTGAACTTCTGTTCAATTTCTGGTGAATGTTTCCTTTCTTTTTCTACTGTAAAGAGTTTATATGTTTTTCTTTTTTATTATTGCAAAACAATAGTCGATGAAACATGTAAATATTATGAAGGATCAATAATAAAGACTTGGATAATTAATATTGATGGATTTTCTTGGAATCGTCTCCTTTCAATCAACAAAATCCCAGCGAAAATCATTCGATTTACTTACAATAACGAACGATATTATTTATAAATAAATAAATTACACACAAACAATTAATTATCACAGAATTATCACTGATTTCATCTGGAGTTCATTCAAAAAAGGGTTAGACTACCTCTGACCTGAAGTAATGAGCAAAGGAAAAAAGGAATGGTGTTGGCTGGACTGAAATTTTGGCGGGCAATTGGCATCAGCCGTTTGTTTACAAGCGAACAATAAAAAAATGTAAAGATCCTGACAGGAATACTCAATCCTCCTCCCCACATACGATAAATAAAAAAGGAAATTTACCGCTTAGAGATAATTTTTGACGACAATCTGAGGACTCGATTGGATTATTTAAATAAATAAAATGGTGCGGAGAAAAGCGGGTGTGAGGTGCGTAGGTTATGAAACACCAACTGTTGATTGAAGGTCATTATTTGTAATTATCGTAAAAATTTATTGGATTTTTTTGCAGGAAATCTAATGCTGGGGCTACGTCGTCGCCTGGAAAAAAGTCGAGAGTAATTTTTATTATTTATTCGTAGAATTAAAAAGACGAAAACGATTTTTATTCAGGAATTTAAACGTGAAGAGATGACAGATATTTTCGTATTCAGATAATTGTGATAATTTCAGTATTATTGATATTTTAATATTATATATATTGAAATAATTATATTTATAATGTTTATCAGTTATTTATTTATTTTTATCTGTCGTTTATGGATGATATTTAAATATTTGTTTGATTTTTATAAGTTTTTTAACGGAAGGGCCTGAAGCTCTTGAAAATTATTGAATAATTTGAATAATAATTGTTTATTTATTGTTTTTGAAGACTGAAACTCTGGTGAATCGCAAGGCCAGGGTGAAGCCAGGGGTACGAGCTCTCCAGGAGATCAGAGCCCTCAGGAGATCGACAAAATTACTCATTCCCAAATTACCATTTTTCCGACTCGTAAAAGAGATTATTCACGATCTCTTCCCGAGAAAAAACATTGACAGGTGATTTTATTCCCTCAATTTCTCCACTCATTAATCAATCACTCGACAATTACGCAAAAACTGAAGAGGATTTCATAATTAATTAATAATTGTGTAACAATTACGAATCAAAAACGAGAGAAATACCAAAACAAATAATTTTACGAATTCTACACGAGTTTTTCGTTGATATCTTGTGATTGAAGGATCCCAGCGATTTTTTTGCAGATACATTTTTTATAGAAAAAGATGAGATCTCCAAAAAAGGTATCGATGAAAAAATCGTTATCTCCCTTCAGTGCCGAGATATCGGGTGAAAACTGGTCTTGAAAAAAATGCAGTTATTTATCTTTGAGTTTAATTATTGTTTTATAATGAAGAATGCAAGCGAATGCACTGGAAGCACTTCAGGAAGCGGCTGAGACCTACCTGGTACAGTTCTTCGAGGATTCAATACTTCTGGCATTTCACTGCAAACGAGTGACCCTGATGCAACGAGATATGGTCCTCATGAGGAGACTCCGAGGACGTGACGACGTAATCAACAGATAATTATCAACTCCAAAATCATCATTGCCATTTTTACATCCACAGCGGATGGAGTAAATTAATAAATCGTGAATGATAAAAATAATTCACTCGAGTCAAATGGAGAGGTAAAACTATTCCCAGATTTTTTCCAGATTTTTTAAATAAAATGTCCAATGGGGACAGGAATTACTTCTCCCTGAGGATTCATTCACTGACAATACGATTAATCATATCATAATCGATAATTTAAATGAATTGTTGATGGTTTTTTGTATAAAAATAGGAAATACTTACTGTAAAATTTATCTTTATGTAAAAATGATATTGTTTTTTGTGAAGAGAATCTCAGGAACCCGAATATTCCTTTAGCGACTAGATAATTCTTTGAGAATGAAAATAAATTGTTCAGAAATGCTCGACTGGAAGAATCCTTCCAATTTCTGTAATATTTTCATAATAAAAAAATTATCCAGACAATTAATGCGTGAGATTGCTCTCGAATTTCCATCGGGTTTGTCAATTCCAAAAGAAATAAAATCACCTATCACCGTCTATCGACATTTCCCCAGCACTCCAACCACAAGAATGTACCTCAAGAGAAACCATTAAAAAAAAATAAAAACAATTGGCCAAGATCTGAGGCCCAAATATAAAAACTTGAATTGGGATAAATTTTTTTGCTTTCACGTAAGACACGTGCACGTGCGGTTGAAAAATAATTAAACATCCGGTGGGCAAAAAAGTAAATGTAGGGAACAAGGAGACGACGTGGGGACCCCAATCCCTTCACTTATTTATTGCAGACAGGTTTTACAGTCTATCGTAATCTTTCACGCGAGATACATTCTAAAAGTTATTGTTCATTTGTAAATAATCCCCTGATCACGGTAATCTGACCCTAAATTTAAATATTCCCAGTGGGCGGTGCATCATTTCTGGATTTTCCTCGGCATTTATGTTCACTCACCCATCGCTCGAGTATATAAGAGCTATTGTGCATTAATTATTTATTTACTTCAGTCATGTTCAACGAAATGCGGAGACCACACTGTCTCGTTCTGTTGTTCATCGTCGCCTGCTTGTTCGAGTGCGCAAAATGTAATTAATTGATTTTTAATAAAAATATTAATTAGTCTGATTATTTTATTAATTATTGTCGGATATTATCAGTTAGATTTCTTTTATTTTTTCAGGCGATGAAGAACATCACAGGGGAAAAATCGTCGGTGGATATCCAGCCAGAGAGGGAGAATTCCCTTATCAAGTTTCATTGAGAGTCAAGGGGAGACATTTCTGTGGTGGATCGATTATAAATAAACGATGGATCCTCACAGCCGCTCATTGTTTACGCGGGTACGTCCAATTGTTAATTAAACCACAAAAATATTCCACAAACAATAAAAAAACCCAGAGGATTCTGATTTAAAATTCTGATTACAAATTTTTCCATAATTTTTTAATTAATCTACTACAATTAATTTAAATCGATTTATGTGATCGGATTTTATTTATAATTGAGGCAGGAATTTATTTAGATTAATTGTGATTTGATAATTGTGGTAGGTTCAACGACTCGGCAATTACTGTAGTCGTGGGGACGACGACTCTGGACGAGGGTGGAGATGCCTATCAGTCGTCAGAGATTCATGGACACCAGGGGTACAGCTCATTATTCGTGAAGAATGATATTGGACTCATTCATGTTGATCAGGACATAGAATTCTCGGATTACGTTCAACCCGTTTCACTTCCCACCGAGTATTTCGATAAGAGTGATTACCCTGCTGTCCTGTCGGGATGGGGTACAACGAGTGTAAGCACTGGAATATAAATAATCAATAATTATGCGGATGTGTAAATTACTGATAAAATGTTGATGATTATTTTAGAATTGTAGCACTTGTTCCATCTGTTTAAAATTCCCGCGGATTTCGATAATTTTGTAATTCCCACATTGTAATTCCCATTTTTGCGGGGGATGTTTGCTGATTGGGGAGGGTAATATATTTTTTTATTGCAGTACCCGGGGAAGACGCCTAATGATCTTCAACGTATTACATTGACAGTAATTGATCAGCGCGAGTGCAGGAATTTTTCTCTCATGCGAATTACGAAGAAAAATCTCTGTACACTCAATGGAAAAGGGGAGGGTGCGTGTCACGTAAGTGTATTATCATTTAAAAAATATATCCCGATCCTAATTGAAGTAGAAATGTAAATAAACATTTAATTAAAATCACATTCACCTCATAAACAAATAAATTCGTTCAACCAAGTCGAGTGATTGTGGATTATCTCCGATTCTGGGAGAAATCTCGAAATTTTCATTGAAACCTTTTTTGTAGGGCCGATCTAGGGCTACAAAAAAGGTTATCATGAAAATTTCACTCGGTCCAGCGGATTCGGGGATATTCCCCGAAAACTGATGGATTTCGTTGTAATTTGATTTCAGGGCGATTCAGGGGGTCCTCTCGTCGCCGATGGAGTGCAGATCGGCGTCGTCTCCTGGGGGACTCCATGTGCCAAGGGAAAACCTGATGTATTCACCAGAGTCTCCAGCTACATCGATTGGATAAACGAAACAATCGGCGAGCACGACGACGTGGACTTCGAAGAAGATGAATAAAAAAAAAAATCTTCCCCACACTAATCTCTATAATTTCAATAAAAAATAATAGAGAAAAATCCTCAATTAATTATTATAAATAATGAATCCGAGGATAATCATTCCAATCCACAGCATTAAGACAGATTAATATAAATTAATTCCAGGGAATTTTCTCCAATTGTTATAATTTTTATTATCTATCATTTTTAATTAGTTCTTTGGGGGTGACGAGGGGGTAGTTGAGTTTAAACAATAATCCCGGGATTTTAAAAACAAAGCGGTGCCCTGACCTATCCCATCCCCTTTGAATCCCACCCTCCGAGGGATTCACCCCTGGGGTATGTCCGCGCAACCCTCAGTTCTCCAATGGCCGCGATTCACCCCATATCGGAGGGATGATGACTCCCTCAAAAATAAACTCAAAATCCCACTGGAATCCCTGAATTAAGTATCACTAGACTCTCCACACCCCCGACTCCCGGAAATAAATAATCACCACCACCCCACAGACCGAAAAAGTGAATCATTAATAACAATTTACGTTTCAATTAACAGGAGTCCTTGCAAGTGTTTACGCACCGAGAGTTGACCCATTTTTACTGCGCATGACGAATTAATTAATAAAAATATAAAAAACATCGGGACAAATAAAAAAAATAGAATAGTTGCCGATGAAAATAAATCAACAATAATTCATTTAAATTGAAATTAATTAAATTTACTTTAATTAATTAATCAAATTAATTAATTTTAAATTGAAAACATAATTGTTAATTTAAAGCGCACGAGGGATTTTGTTTATTTATCCATTCTGGGGAATGGAAAATTGATTTGGGGAGAGTGAAGGGGAGATGAATAATTATACTGTTTATTTACGGATGTGTAAATAATCTATGGAAATATATTTTGATAACGACATCCTGAGAGTGTTATCAAATGGTGAATTAGAATTTTAGTAAACGGAGATAAAGGTGTCGGTGTTTTAAATTCACCACCTGCATAAGAACACCTGGCCTTCCCGAGATACGTGCGTTGAATCAATATAGGACTTCTTTATTCGGATAACAATTTCCTTTCTTACGATAAGAATGTGAGATATACCAGAAGAGTTGAATCCCCAAAGAATAATCAACATTTTCCATTATTTCTCTCCCCTTTCAACACTGTGTTATTGTTTAAACAATAACAACAAACAACTACATGAGCTGCTGTCCCTTTATGTGAGTCTAATTATTTTATTAATCGTTATTAATTGTTAAAATTAATTTATTGGTTATTAATTATCAGTTTATTTGGGGGAAATGGGGGTGGGATTGAGGGAAAACTTTGGGGTGGGATTTTTTTTTATAGATCTGTTTTTTAGGTAAATTTTTAATTGAGGATATTAAAAGGGGAATCACCTCGAAAAATTCTCATCAACTCCTGGGAATATTCACTTCCACAACCTTGAGACAACCCATAATCACCGGCAATTCCTCTAATAGTGTAATTACAACATGAATGAGAAAAAAATAATTCTGAGTTGTAATTCCCTCTTTCTCACTGTCAATCATTACTGGAGAGATTAATACCTCCTAGACACTTATCCATAAAAATTGAATTCATTAGATTTTCGAAAAATCGACAGAAAACTAAAAATTGAAATAAAAAATTGACTGCCAATAAAAAATAATGAATAAATATCAATTAAAAGAATTTAAATTTCCAATTAAAAGAAGAAACACTAGAGTAGGTTAAAAATTCAAATTTTGAATCCAAAAAAATTGGGGGGTCAATGACAATTTTTTAATTTCCATGATTTTCAAAAATCTGAATACCTCAGAGTGAATGAAATAAATGCGAAATGGTAAAATCCGTATTTTTCCTCGAGGGAGTGCATTAATCCCTCTCTGTCCTTCTCTCTCCCTCTCCCTCCAGCCGAGGGGTCACTTTGCACCCCCCCGTCCCCCTCAAAATTGTTACGGACCAATGGGTAGATGAGAATTCCCACCACCAGAGTAACTAGAGACGCGAGTGAGTGAACATCAGAGAATCCTATTTTATCAGTTTGTCTCATCTCTTGGTATTGACTCGACATTTTCAAAATAATGAAAAAATAAAAGCCACGACAATTGACGGTTTATATTTCGATCTTCGCCATGGCCTAGTATTTATTAAATAAATAAAAATACGTCGAGGGGAAATGGCTGGTGGAGGCAGAACATTCGACTGAGTGTTTTTGTTGTGTTCTGTTCTCTTCTCCTGGTGCTGTCTATTGTTCTCCTGGGGTTTTCGACCTGGGGGTCAGGATGGGACAGATGTGAATTCGGGGTGAGGGGTTTCACGAGTTTTTGAGTTCGTGACATGTCTCTGGGTCAGGAGGTGAACATCTAGGATTTTGACTGGGGAACTTTGATCTGGACACTTGGAGATCTGTCTGGGGATCATGGAGGCACTCAGGCTAGCTATTCAGTAAGTTCAGGGTGCAATTGCTCCTGGAGAAGTCTTCGAAATAAAACTGGCACTCACCACAGCGAAATTCGGGTGTTGATTATGATGTGTTGACAGTTTTTCAGGGATATCTCTGGAACCGATGGACTTAGCGAAATTGTTTATCAGCATTTTTTGTTGA